TGTTACATACTTTGTACTACATGCAATGTGGCTATCAAGACGGTCCGACGTGGTGTAGAACAGGAAGATCACCGTCCGTGAGCGCCTAGGAATCTGAGCAGTAATCTGTTTGATGGGGCACCCAGCTCCAGCTCTAAGAGCGGATAACCCGGAAGAGGCGGAATTTTGGTTATGAAAATGACAAAATATTGATGAGGTAAACCCTAAATTAATAAAAATTCATAATTTTGATCTTTGGCGGAAGACTTCTTGTGATTTCTCTTTAGCATAGTTACTTATTACCTACTTATTTTAACGGGTGATTTTTTAAGAGGTATAGGATATGATTTAAAAAAAAACTAAAAAAATTTGAAAAAACGATTAAATCTTTATTTGAGTCGATAGAGCGGTCGATATAATTTAATGTTTAAAGATTATTTCATGTAAATGTTGGCCGAGGCTCCGCTTTAGATGGCCCATGCGCAAGGTCCAATTCTGGCATACTCTCTCCAACATATTGGCCGGTATCTCACGAATAAATGCTTCAATATTGGCTTCCAGTGCGTCAATCGTTGCTCGTTTATCCCTGTAGACATTAGCCTTAACATGGCCCCACAAATAGTCCAACGGCGTTAAATCTCACGATCTAGGCGGTAAATTGACGGGCTCCAAACGTGAGATAAACTGTTCACCGAACTCGCCTCTCAATAGGACCATTGTTTCCTATGCGGTGTGGCATGTGGCACCGTCTTGTTGAAACCGCATGTCAGCCAAGTCCAGCTCATCAATTTTGGGTAAAAAAAAGTTTGTTATCATCGCATGGTAGCGCTCGCCATTCACAGTTACGTTCCGGCCATTGTCGTCTTTGAAGAAGTACGGCCCGATGATGCCACCGGCCCATAATCCACACCAAACAGTGATTTTTTCGGGATGCATTGGTAGCTCTTGCAATGCTTCTGGCTGGTCTTCACTCCAGATGCGGCAATTTTGCTTGTTAACCTACCCATTCAACCAGAAATGAGCTTCGTCGCTGAACACAATTTTTCGATAAAAATGTGGATCTTCCTCCAACTTTGCCAGCGCCCATTCACCAAATTGGAAACGTTGTGGGAGGTCGTGTGGCTTCAATTCTTGCACCAGCTGTATCTTATAAGGTTTTACACCCAAATCCTGTAGCAAACTTTTCCACGTAGTGGAGTAACAGAGGCCCAATTGCTGCGAACGGCGGCGAATCGACATTTCACGGTCATCACTAACACTGGCGGATACAGCCGCAATATTTGCTTCAGTCCTCACTCTACGTCTGCGTGTTGGTGGTTTAATGTCCAATAATGTAAACTGGGTTCGAAATTTTGTCACAAACTTCCGAATAGCTCCCTCAGTAGGCCGACCAAATTGCCCATAGATTGGAAGCAGTGCTCGATGCACTCTCTTAACCGAGCATGAATTTTGATAGTAAAATTCAATAATTTGCAAGCATTGTTCGTTCGTAAGTCGATTCATGGTTAAATTATAGACCAAACTGAACAAGTTTGACAATGACACAAGACACGATTAACGCGTCATCTGTCAAAAACAGTGTTGCCAAAAAAATCACCCGTTACTTTACTGTTATTATGTTCTATTTTAAGTTTTGTTTGTGTTTTGTTGTTTAAACAATATATTTTGTAATAGCACCTGGGTAACATACAGGGTGCGAGACTCCATCGATAGATTTCTCGAAAAGTGGGCATACGATAATTTTAAAAATTTGGGAGTATACTAATGTCGACAACCAAAATGTCTTCAAGATAGTGCCACTTCCGGTTATACCGGAAGTTGATACCAACTTGCTTATTTTAAATTTATATTACTAAATATTCGGATACTACATAAAATTCTAATCACAATTCGTGTATAATCTCCTATACCCAAGTCTGACCGTTTTTGACATATATCAAATTTTGGTGTCAAAAATGACGTTTACTGGCCTTAAAATAATTCTTCATTTCCCCTATGTAGAACACCTTATTGTTTAATCTGGATTGATTTTTCGGTAAACAGGGATACAGTTTAATAGAATTTGTATGATACAGGGTGCTGCAGAGAGGACGGACGTTTTTGGGATGGATACTCCTCTCCGCCACCGTCTAGGAGAGAGGTGGGGAGGGTGCCGTTTGACTCGTGAGATCCTGGCATTATTTTACCAGTTATCGTTATGGAGCCTTGGACGGTAGAGCACCGCGTTTTCGCCTATGATTGTTTCGTCCGAAATAATGAGTCAGTCATCGTCGGACAGCGTGAGTTTCGTCGCCACTTCAACATTCATCGGAATAGAACTGTTACCTCTCGAAACACCATCCTTCGTTGGGTTGAATCACTTCACAGGCATGGTGAACTGATCAACCGAAGACCAAGAGGAGCGCCGCGAACAGTTCGAACTCTTGAAAATTTTGAACGCGTTCGACAGGTCTTTCTTTGCAGTCCGACTCGATCTGCCCGGAAACATGCTGCTTGCACTTCGCCTTAGTGATCATTCGGTAAGGCGAATTTTTAATATGGATCTCCGCCGTCACCCCTAAAAATTGGCCATTGTGCAACAGTTACAGCCCGGAGATTATGCACAACGAATGAACTTCGCACGTGAGATGGAAGCACTGATCGATCAAAATGAGAACCTCATGTTGTTTATGAGTGACGAAGCCCACTTTCATCTAAACAGCATGGTTAACCAGCAGAATTGTCATTATTGGGCTAATGAAAACCCGCAACAGTTACACGAAAGACCGCTGCACAGCCCAAAAGTAACGGCTTGGTGCGCTGTATCGCAAACTTGCATCATTGGCGTTTACTTCTTCGAAGACGGTAATGGTCGTGATGTTACCGTGAACTCAGAGCGCTACGTCGACATGATCACCAACTTCTTTCTCCCTGAATTACGATGGCGACGTGTTCCAATCCGACGTGTGTGGTTCCAGCAGGATGGGGCGACCGCCCACACAGGCCGAGCATCCATGGACGTTATTCGCCCCCTCTGCCCTGGTCGCCTTATTTCCATATTTGGCGATGTTCGTTGGCCTCTTCAGTCCCCAGATTTATCCATATGCGACTTTTTCTTATGGGGACACCTCAAGGCTGGAGTATACGCGAACAAGCCCCTAACTTTGGACTAATTGAAGGGCGAAATTCGCGTGGAGGTCGCCCAAGTTGAGAAAGCGATGTTGGAGAGGATCTACCTAAAATTAACTATTTTAAGATTTTTTTAAAACCGTCCATCCTCTCTGCCGCACCCTGTATTTTGATAGTTATGTATACAGGGTGGTCAAAAAATTGAATGCAAAAAACTGACAAAAGTCAATTTATTCAAATGATTTTTATAAGCTTATCGCATCAAGCGTTAAAAATTAGCGTAACTTTATACAGGGTTAAAAATCGATATTTGGCATTTCTGGACATTCAATTTTTATACTAATTTTTTGACCACCCTGTATAAACAATTATCTAAATATCATACAAAGTCCATTAAGCTATATCCGTGTTTACCATATAAAATCAATACACATTAAACAATAAGGTGTTCTACATAGGGAAAATGAACAATTATTTTACAACCTGCAAACGTCATTTTCGACATAAAATTTAGAACGTCAGAAACAGTTAAACTTGGGTGTAGCAGATCATACATGAAATGTGATTAGAATTTTATGTATGAATATTTTGTAATACACAGGGTGTCCAATTTAAAATAAGCAAGTTGGCATCAACTTCCGGTACAACCGGAAGTGCCACCATATATATACAGGGTGTCCGCAAAGTTGGGGTTTTCCTTTACACGACGTGTAGATCTTGAAAACATAAGCATTTTTTCTTAGTACCATATACACCAATGTCTTAAGGGAACCGAGATAAAGGGCTCTGCAACATCAAAAATATCTGAATACCGTCCTGTAGCCGCGACTCGCGACATCTCCGAGTGGTACTAGGACACTAGCTCAACCCGACGACAGAACTGGGTCGGGGTCCGTGTGTCAGGTCAGTATGCAACCTTCAACCGACGGTTACAGTCACGCGTGTAGGGGTAAACGAACGCGTATAGTCGATTGCGTTTCAAAAAACAACAAGCACTAGAGACGTGGCTAGAGAAGTGCAAGTATCAAAAACTAAAGTGCGGCAAACGCTGCAGGAAGAGGGGCTGTATCCGTTTCACGTCCAACGTGTACAAGCCCTTCAACCTGACGATTTTCCAGCAAGAGTGCGGTTTTGTGAGTGGTTGTTGCATCAACATGACAATAATCCGGACTTTTTGAAGTGCATATTGGTGACAGACGAATCTACGTTCACGCGTAATGGGGTGAATAACTTTCGCAACACTCATGTTTGGTCAGTAGAAAATCCGCACGCTGTCCGTCGGGCACATTTTCAACAAAAATTTTCGGTGAATGTTTGGGCTGGCATGGTGAACGATATGCTCATTGGATCATTTATTCTCCCAAATCGATTGGACGGGATGCAATACCTAGACTTTTTACGCAACATTTTGCCTTCCTTGTTAGAAGATGTGCCATTAAGTGTAAGACAATCAATGTGGTTTCTGCACGATAGTCATATTTGTTACCTCTGTTCGTGGTCTGCACCACCGCCGGCGTCGGCTCGGTAGCGCATCAGCTGATTTCATTTTCTGTTGGAGCGGTATGATTTCGGGCAGAGACGTACTTAGCCCTTCTCGTCAACTGGAGAGTGAGTACTTTTTCCTTTATTTTTTTACTTGGTCGCCCTCGTTTCACTACACATTACCTTTGTTATTTCAAGGGTAGTTGTTTCTGAAAAGGAAAACCCCAACTTTGCGGACACCCTGTATATGCCTACTTTTCGAGAAATCTATCGATTGAGCTCCCGATGCAGCATCCTGTATAGATACTTCTTAACATTTTACAGTTTTGCTCTACTTAAAAGTTATCTTTTGTTACATGTATGGTTCGCATTTTAATAGATCTTTTATTAAACTATATTATTTATTTTTAAAACATCCAAGTTGAAGAGGCGGCAATTTGTCTTTTTGCCTGTGGCGGCGTAAATGCTGGAGCGGGCTGTGGGGCACCCTGCGAGTTTACAATTGTTTGAGTCTCAGTCGTCAGAAGACTAGCCAACTATTACAAAGACCTTATCAAATTCAGTCTATAGCCTGACATGTCATCATGACAGCACTTCAAACCTATAATCTGTCACATCAGTTGACCTGTTTTTATGTACGCAAAAGGACTGCTACTACTTGTACTGATAAGGGCGCTAGCAGGAGATGCCGCTGACAATATAGATACCTCCAAAAAAGGCTTATCGTTACACGCATTTCTGCAATCAAAGCTGGATGCTATCAGGGATGTTGTTCGAATCAAAAATCATGCGATAAGGAACCACAAAGCCAACAAATCAACATCTACAACACAAAAAACTACCGCCAGCGCGGAGGATCAAGATATGGCGCAACTAGAGCAAGTTCTAACAAACTTCTTGAAAGCGCGAGGTAATGGGAAATTATATACTACTACTAACAATTTCACCCGAAGTTTGTCGAATATTTATTAAAAGTAAAGTTCCAACAAAAGTTGAAACTCACTTTTCCCTACTGACTGGGTGGTAAGATGTGGATGTCTCTTCAAAAAAATTCAAAATGTTATGGCATAACTGGATGTTGTACTCCTAATATCCGTCGTTAAATGCCAACCCTTGGTAGGGTTGTGCTGTGTAAATAGTGTTTCTGAAATACGGGGCAAAGATCTAAGAGGCGGTTACTTGGTATATCCTAAAACAATTTTTGAAAAATCGCTTTGCCTTTTAAAAACAAACCCCTAAAGGACAAAACTCGTTTTTTAGTCTCATCACTTGATCTACAGATCCCCTATGTTACTAAGAAACTATGCTTATTATTGCCTTAACTACACGCTCTGTAAGAGCAACGATGTTGAGTGCCGCCTCACTCATCAACCAACCCGAAAATAAAGACACATTATTATTATTATTATTATTATCATTATTTCCGCTTTTCCACAGCTTCTTTCTGCTGCTATATTTTGGTTGGAGGATGTCAGGCAGACATCGTCTCAATCAAAGGGATGGCACCATTTCTGGAAGACGGTATTTATTCTGAGTACAAAAATATTCGTGTTATATGGCACGTGTTCGGTATTACTGTTTTCTGCATCTGTTGGTAGATATAAGGTTCCAGGTCTAGCTCTTCCAGGGATTTAAATAGGTTTCGTGGTATTGTTCCCATATTGGATAAGACTGTCCACTCTACATAGGTCTTTTAATTCAAAGGTAAGGTCGATATATTTATTGATCTTCTCTGCAAAGGTTTTCCCCATGTTTGTGCCATTAGTCACCGCTATATCGATGAGCAGGACCTCCCCTTCCATTTTCTTCCATATGGTGATATCTGGTCTTTCATGAACTAGGCTATTGTCTGTGAGAATGCTTCTGTCCCAGTAAATTTCGTATTTTGTGTTCTCTAGGATGGTTTCAGGTTGATATTGGTAGTACCTTCTTTTTTCTCCAATAGGCCGTATATCCTCTTGGTGGATAATTCTGCCACCTTCGTCATGTCTTCGTTTGTATTCTATTTGTGCTATAGTTTGACAGCCTCCTATTATATGGTGTATGGTTTCACTAGTTTGTTTATATCTCCTGCATACATCTGATTGAAAAATCTCTTTTAGGATGTATGTCCTGTAATTGTTGGTCTTTATAACTTGATCTTGGATAGAAAGCATGAAGCCCTCCGTTTCTGGGTATAAGTCCCGACCGGCTAGCTAGTTGTAAGACGCTTGTTTGTCTACATAGTCTTAGCTAACTTCATAGGTATACCTCCCATGTAGAGCTTTCTGCTGCCATGTGATCATCTTTTATTAATGATATTATTATTATTATTATAAGTTCCAACTTTGTATTTATCATCATCATTCAAGAGTTTGATTACCCAGAAACTGGGCAAAGAACGGGGGAAAAAGGATGAATAATAGTTATTTATTATATAAGGGAAAAAGTACTAGATTTTAGCTTGAGGTTCTATTATATACAGGGTGGCGCATCGAAAACGAAACAGACGCAAACAGATCAAAATGACTGCACTGCTTTACAGCCCTTTGACCTTTAATAATGTCACCCTGATGTGCTACGCATTCTCCAACGCGCCTAGGCAGGCTTCTGATCAGGTGGTCAATATTCTCCTGTGGTATCTCATTCCAGGCAACCACCAACTCCTCTCGAAGTGCTTCTAGAGTCTGAGCAGGACGTTGCAAATTGAACAATCTCCTACCCATCATATCCCACACGTGCTCAATGGGGGATAAGTCGGGAGATCTTGGTGGCCATGGTAACAATGTGACATCATCATGTTGAAAGAAGTCTATTGTGACTCTTGCAACATGTGGTCGGGCATTATCTTGTTGGAAAGTTGGATCTGCCAGTGTGTCAAGATAGGGTAAAAGATGGGGTTCTAGAACTTCGTGGATATAACGCTGCGCGTTCATGTTACCTCTGATGAAGATTAAAGGTGACCTGGAACCATAAGCTATAGCACCCCAAACCATAACTCCAACAGTGTGATGAACATGTCCTTCAACAAAAAACTATGGATTCCTCCTTTCACCACGTCGCCTTCTAACCCTGGCACGACCATCGTGCATGCCTAAACAAAATCGAGACTCGTCACTAAAGACAATACTGTTCCATTCCTGATCCCAGAGTGACCGTTATCTGCACCACTCAAGGCGATTACGTCGGTGTTCTCGAGTTAAAGGGAGGACCCAGTGCGGCCGGTATGAAAACAAGCCAAAACTTCTCATTCGTCGGTAAACACTTCTCATGCCAATAGGTCTTCCGCGTTCTGCAAACCATTCATTTGCAATGGACCTGGTAGTGGAGAAACGGTCCCTTAAGGCCAATAATCTTAGGCGGCGATCTTCACGGTCTGTTGTTCTACGGCGGCATCCAGTGCCCCTTGCTCTTTGCGTACAGCCTTCTCGAAGCCATGCCTGACAACACCTAACCACAGTGTCTACACTTCTTTGCACTCTAACTGCAATTGCCCGAAAAGAAAGTCCAGCTTCCCGAAGTCCCACTATACGGCCCCTATCAAACTCACTAAATTGACGAAATCGTAAAGGTCTCCGTACTCTAGGCATCGTAACCGATCGTAAAGGATGTCAAGAACCAAAATCCGCCAACGTTGATTCTTTACTGCGGCTGAAATATTCATTTTTAGAGCGTTAGTGAATGAAAAAAAAGCAGTATAAAAACCGCAATGTCCAACTGATAAGGCTGAACATTTTTTCACTTGTTATTTACAGTAAGATAAATACATTCACCAACTTTTATTAAAATAAAACCATTTAAACTGGGTGTTCGGATTTATATGTCACTTAGTATAGAAAGGGGGATCGAGTGATACCTTATTTTAAAGGTCTTTCAATTCCCTTTATTATGATATAAAATTAGTGTACTTCAGTTCAGTACTTTTGAAGATTTATTGATTTAAAGCTTAAAGTAGACTTTAGTAGGTACATCAGATTAGTTTGTACTACTTTCAGAAGAAATTTGACTAAAATAATTTACTCAATAATTAAATGCTTTTCCTCACTACGCCCATGGTTTGTTTATCATTTTGTTGTTGAAAATAGCTATTGGAGCGTTTTTTTGTGGCAAAAAAGTTAATTCTTGAAAAAAGATAAGGGAATATCTCATACTTATTTTAAATAGGAATTTAGTACATAGTTTGCGATTGATTTAACCAAACTTTGTTGCTAAAATAACTTGTAATGCTTTATTACATAAATTAACCATGGTATATTCCACAGGAGAAAGAGTTGAAATTACCGAAATATCTTTCGGAAATAATCAGTGCGCTAATAGAGCAGCAGAAATATTTAATGAGCGATATGTAGATCCCACGTTAAGTACCCGCAAATTTTAGACTGTGTGTGGTGTTAGTCGACGTACTGTCCAACGGATTCTAAAGACCTATAGTTTTCATTCGTATAAAATTCACCTGATACAAGAACTTAATAAAGACGATTTTGATCGGCGATTACAATTTTGTGAAGATATGAGTGAGCGAATTATAAACGATGCACATTTTCTATTCAACACTTGCTTTTCCGATGAATATTCCTTTTTCTGAAATGGCGTAGTAAATCGTCATAACTGCCGGTATTGGACTGATTCTAATCCCAGAATTTATCATGAGGTTCATATACAGCAGCCACAAAAATTGAATGTTTGGACTGGTATTTTACTCAGTTGGTCCTTTTTCTTACCTGGAAATTTGACCGTTGAAATGTATTTGGAGAAATTACTGGAAGACGCCATAGATTCTGCATTAACAACCATCATTGAAAATCAGAATGATCAGCGGTACATTGCGAATAGGTTGATGTTCCAAGAAATGTATTGACTTCACCAATGATGATGTATTAGTTTTATTTAAGCTTTAAATCAATAATTCTTCAGAACCACCGAACTGAAGTACACTAATTTTATATAATTATAAAGGGAATTGAAAGACCTTTAAAATAAGGTATCACTCGACCCCCCTTTCCATTTAAGATTTTGGGGGTGGTGTCACCCCCGCTTAGGGAGCTGCACGTGCAAACGTGTTTTTTTGCCAAACTTGTGTCCCCCTCGGAAACAAAATCGAGGGGTCTAAGCTTTTTTCAAAAAAAAACTGATCTGTCAATAAATGCGTCTGTTTCGTTTTCGATAGTATAAAAAACTGAAAGCTAAAATCTAGTATTTTTCCCGTGTATAATACACCATTTTATTCTGTGACGGGAAAAACGGCGATTTAATATTGAAAAATTATATTATTACAATAATTAAGGCAGGAAGTTATAAATATTTGAATTTTGAAACTAGTAGGCTATGTTGTACTTATAGCGACAATTAGACCTGCGTTGCTAAGGAAACTTTTTAAGTAATCAAATAGCTGTCAATTTATTTTTGTGACTTGATTTAAAAATTGTGAACTTAGTAGTTGTTTAGAAGTTAGTTTTAATACTATAAAGTAAAAATGTCTGACTCCGAGTTTTCTCTGACTCCACCAGAATTAGCAGAAGTAGCCGTAGCGTCACAAAAATTATTGCCAGCTAAATAGCGGAAAATTTGCGATACCACGTATTCAAGATTCATTGAACGGAAGATGAAAAAAACATGCAGTTCTTTGACGGAGACGGTGTTATTGGCTTATTTTTCGGCACTGACACAACAACAAAAGCCATCAACAGTGCGGTCGAATTATTCAATGTTTAAAAGTATGCTGCGATCCAATAATAATGTAGATATTTCAGAATATTTCAAACTAATTACATTTCTGAAACAAAATGGGATAGCTTACAAGCCCAAGGAAGCTGCGATTTTTACGAGTACTGAAATTAGTGATTTTTCAAATAATGCTCCCGATGAAGCTTATGTAATGGCCAAGGTTGTTGTTGTATTTGGGATTGCAGGAGCTTGCCGAATTTGTGAAATCAACCAGGTAACATTAGATGATATTGAAGATTCGAGCACGTTATTAATTGCGAAACTTAAGGGAACAAAGAATGAAGATGGTCTGCTACACATTTAGTTGAATCTGGAGGAGACTTGATGACACTAAAGAAACATGGCGGTTGGAAGTCATTAACCGTGGGCTGAAGGGTATATGATGAGTGCGTAGCATACAGGACAGAAATAAAGTATTAAGAACGTGTGGTAGTGCTCAAATATACTAAGTGACATATAAATCCGAACACCCACTTTAAATGGTTTTATTTTAATAAAATTTTGTATAAGTACTTAATGAAGCATAATAAGTAAATGATAAAAATTTCAAAATGATTGCACTGCTTTAAAGCCCTTTGACCTTTAATAATGTGTGGATGCACCCTGATGTGCTACGCATTCTCCAACGCGCCTAGGCATGCTTCTGATCAGGTGGTCAATGTCCTCCTGTGGTATCTCATTCCATGCAACCACCAACTCCTCTCGAAGTGCTTCTAGAATCTGAGGAGGACGTTGCAAATTGACCCATCATATCCCACACGTGCTCAATTGGGGATAAGTCGGGAGATCTTGGTGGCCATGGTAACAATGTGACATCATTATGTTGAAAGAAGTCTATTGTGACTCTTGCAACATGTGGTCGGGCATTATCTTGTTGGAAAGTTGGATCTGCCAGGGTGTCAAGATAGGGTAAAAGATGGGGTACTAGAACTTCGTGGATATAACGCTGCGCGTTCATGTCTGATGAAGATTAAAGGTGACCTGGAACCATAAGCTATAGCACCCCAAACCATAACTCCAACAGTGTGATGAACATGTCTTTCAACAAAAAACTGTGGATTCCTCCTTTCACCACGTCGCCTTCTAACCCTGGCACGACCATCGTGCATGCCTAAACAAAATCGAGACTCGTCACTAAAGACAATACTGTTCCATTCCTGATCCCAGAGTGACCGTTGTCTGCACCACTCAAGGCGATTACGTCGGTGTTCTCGAGTTAAAGGGAGGACCCAGTGTGGCCGGTATGAAAACAAGCCAAAACTTCTCATTCGTCGGTAAACACTTCGCATGCCAATAGGTCTTCCGTGTTCTGCAAACCATTCATTTGCAATGGACCTGGTAGTGGAGAAACGGTCCCTTAAGGCCAATAATCTTAGGCGGCGATCTTCACGGTCTGTTGTTCTACGGCGGCGTCCAGTGCCCCTTGCTCTTTGCGTACGGCCTTCTCGAAGCCATGCCTGACAACACCTAACCACAGTGTCTACACTTCTTTGCACTCTAACTGCAATTGCCCGAAAAGAAAGTCCAGCTTCCAGAAGTCCCACTATACGGCCCCTATCAAACTCACTAAGTTGACGAAATCGTACAGGTCTCCGTACTCTAGGCATCGTAACCGATCGTAAAGGATGTCAAGAACCAAAATCCGCCAACGTTGATTCTTTACTGCGGCTGAAATATTCATTTTTAGAGCGTTAGTGAATGAAAAAAACGCAGTATAAAAACCGGAATGTCCAATTGATAAGGCTGAAAATTTTTTCACTTGTTATTTACAGTAAGATGAATACATTCACCAACTTTTATTAAAATAAAACCATTTAAACTGGGTGTTCGGATTTATATGTCACTTAGTATAATACCGGATTTGCGACCAAGTATATCAATGGGAGTTGTGATGGCAAAAAAACATATTATTTCAACACAAGAAAATTCGACTGTTGTACCGAATAGTTTAAGAAACGTGTCATTCATGTAATAACTGTACTTTTGATATAAATGAAATGTAACTTTATTGTATAATAAAATGTTCTAAAATTAAATATCTACCTTTGCTTATGTGTTTATACAATTTAAGGGAAAAAAGTACTCACTTTTGTCCCGGGGAAAAAAGTAATTTCATAATAAGTGACATTTTGTTACCTGTCAACAGAGATAAAATGCCAAATCTTTTCCCGTCACAGAAAAAATAACTTTGTAGAGGAGGGGTAGATAAAAACTTATTAACAAATTAAGACAATCCAAAAAATAGTTATGTAAATATCAGCTAAATGCCTTAAAGCTCATATGCGTTCAAGTGGACAATGTGGGCTCAAATTTTAGGAGTTTTTATTTTAAGGAAACAAGGGCAAACGATCTAAAAGAGACAAAGGTAAGCAGAGAGCAGAAAAATCGAGTGAGCAGCAAAAATGGGACAACTGGTCTCAGTGGTCAAGCTGCAGCGTCTCTTGTGGTAAAGGCCGAACGATCAGATGGCGTCACTGCCTGGAAAGTTGCGATGGAATCGAGACTGAGATGCAGGAAAGATCTTGTCAACTACCTGCTTGCCCGCAGAAATTATTTGGAATTATTAAGCTATGAACGGAATTTGGTTATATTCAATTCAATAAAATATACTAAGAGCTAAACGTTTGTGCAACGAGATAGTGACTGCTATAGCTTGAAAACAAAGCTGCGTCAATACAAAGTTTTGTCTATAACTATCGTAAGTCCGCGGCTCCGCCCGCGTGGAAGTAGCGTAAAGTATTACATGTGATTCGTTACGCATTAACTTGAAGAAGATTGGTTTTGGAGAAAGAAATACAATATTCAAAATAATGAAGTAGTCACTTTGGTAACGAACATTTCTTCCTTCCCAACAAATTCATGGACAACTAAGTCAAAGTGTTAGAACTAAAAACTCTATTTAAATGTACAAAATTCCAATGTCATTACGTCAATATGAAAAAACAAAGATATATATATATATATATATATCTTCGAAGTTGAGTCATTTATTTTAACAGTGAGTAGATCTGATCAAAAGAAATGTTTTTTTCCTTTACCATTTTTTTGGTAAAATTAAAGTAACAAAGTTATAGCCCTTTGGAAGTTTGAGTACCGCCCTGTCTCAATAATAATATTATGTGCTCGTGTTTGGCAACAACGGATATAATCCGCCTTATCGGTTCATCGCATCGGAAACAAAAAAGCGAAAGAATTTGGAACGATGTTTTTACAATTATTTTATTCAGTTGTATACAGTCAGTGTCAGTCGGTAACGCGTGAGTGAATAGTGGTGTCTGTTCCGTGGCTCAAACGAAATCAAAAATGGCACATGTTTACGGAAATGCTGAACTTGTGGACATGATTCTTATTTACGCGGCATCACGGATTTATGCGGATCGGTTTCCCAATCGAGTGCAACCAACTCCTCGTGCCTTTGTTAATGTAGTACAAAGGGCTCGTGAATCAGGTGACTTAAGACCCCACAGGGGAGGGCATGTCGGTGCTCCAAGACCGCACGATCAAATACAGGTCCGCACTGAAATACTTGTCGGGAGGATACTTTATAAAACAAGGTAACATTTTTTTTAATTTTTATTTTTATTTTTACACACATATTTTGGTTTATCTTCCTTCTACAATCCTTATCTGAAAATTAATGACAACTTCAAAGTCACCCTGTATAATGGGTGATTTTTTTGCTAGTATCTTTTTGGCAACACTTTTTTTGACAGATGGCGCGTGAATCGTGTCTTGTGTCATTGTCAAACTTGTTCAGTTTGGTCTATAATTTAACCATGAATCGACTTACGCACGCACAATGCTTGCAAATTATTGAATTTTACTATCAGAATTCATGCTCGGTTAAGAGAGTGCATCGAGCACTGCTTCCAATTTTGGGCAATTTGGTCGGCCTACTGAGGGAGCTATTTGGAAGCTTGTGACTAAATTTCGAACCCAGTTTACATTATTGGACATTAAACCGCCAACACGCAGACGTAGAGTGAGGACTGAAGAAAACATTGCGGCTGTATCCGCCAGTGTTAGTGATGACCGTGAAATGTCGATTCGCCGCCGTTCGCAGCAATTGGGCCACTGTTACTACACTACGTGGAAAATTTTGCGACAGGATTTGGGTGTAAAACCTTATAAGATACGTATACAACTGTTGCTAGAATTGAAGCCACACGACCTCCCACAACGTTTCCAATTTGGTGAATGGGCGCCGGCAAAGTTGGAGGAAGATCCACATTTTTATCGAAAAATTGTGTTCAGCGACGAAGCTCATTTCTGGTTGAATGGGTACGTTAACAAGCAAAATTGCCGCATCTGGAGTGAAGACCAGCCAGAAGCATTGCAAGAGCTACCAATGCATCCCGAAAAAATCAGTGTTTGGTGTGGATTATGGGTCGGTGGCATCATCGGGCCGTACTTCTTCAAAGACGACAATGGCCGGAACGTAACTGTGAATGGCGAGCGCTACCGTGCGATGATAACAAACCTTGTTTTGCCCAAAATGGAAGAGCTGGACTTGGCTGACATGTGGTTTCAACAAGACGGTGCCACATGCCACACCGCACACGAAACAATGGCCCTATTGAGAGGCCAGTTCGGTGAACAGTTTATCTCACGTTTGGGACCCGTCAATTGGCCGCCTAGATCGTGTGATTTAACGCCGTTGGACTATTTCTTGTGGGGCCATGTTAAGGCTAATGTCTACAGGGATAAACCAGCAACGATTGACGCACTGGAAGCCAATATTGAAGCATTTATTCGTGAGATGCCGGCCGATATGTTGGAGACAGTGCGCCAAAATTGGACCTTGCGCATGGGCCATCTAAAGCGGAGCCGCGGCCAACATTTGTATGAAATAATCTTTAAACATTAAATTATATCGACCGTTCTATCGACTCAAATAAAGATTTAATCGGTTTTTCAAATTTTTTGTGTTTTTTTTTGAAAATCAAATCCTATACTCTTAAAAAATCACCCGGGGCCTCGGTTGGCTGCGTGGGTCAGAGTGTCGTGCTACTGATCAGCCGGCCGGCCGGGCCGCGAGGTCGAATCTCGCCTTGGCCATGGATGTTGTGACGTCGTGTGTTTGTCCATAATTAGAAAAGTAAAATATAACAACCTAGTTTCTGGCTGCATGGATTAGGTCCTAAAGCCAAAAAAAAAAAAAATCACCCGTTATAAGTAGTCACTTTGGTAACGAACATTTCTTCCTTCCCAACAAATTCATGGACAACTAAGTCAAGGTGTTAGGACTAAGAACTCTATTTAAATGTACAAAATTCCAACGTCATTGCGTCAATATGAAAAAACAAAGATATATATATTTTATTATTGCTTTGAAGTTGAGTCATTGATTTTCAGATAATGATTGTAGAAGGAAGATAAACCAAAATATGTGTGTAAAAATGAAAAAAAAAATAAAAAAAAATTTTACCTTTTATAAAGTATCCTCCCGACAAGTATTTCAGTGCGGACCTGTATTTGATCGTGAGGTCCCCTGTGAGGTCTTAAGTCACCTGATTCACGAGCCCGTTGTACTACATTAACAAAGGCACGAGAGGTTGTTTGCACTCGATTGGGAAACCGATCCGCATACACATGTGCCATTTTTTATTTCGTTTGAGCCACGCAACAGACACTGTTCACACGCGTTACCGACTGACCAGAGATATACCCTTCGACTGACACTGACTGTATGTATAACTGGAATGAATAAAATAATTGTAAAAACATCGTTCCAAATTCTTTCGCTTTTTTGTTTCCGATGCGATGAACCGATAAGGCGGATTATATCCGTTGTTGCCAAACACGAGCACATGATATTATTATTGGGACAGGGCGGTACTCAAACTTCCAAAGGGCTATAACTTTGTTACTTTAATCTTTAATTTTACCAGAAAAATGGTAAAGGAAAAAAACATTTCTTTTGATCAGATCTACTCACTGTTAAAATAAATGACTCAACTTCGAAGTCACCCTGTATATATATAAGTCGAAAAAAGAAGCTAGCGCAAAATAAACGTCGGTATTGCTTGACGGTTACAGGTTGAGTGGGGCGATCGCGGCGGCGCTGCTGCCAGCTTGACGCTGACGGTGGAGACTTTGGTACTTGTGGCCACAGTCGATTGCAAAATCGACGATGACTTTACGAGAAAACCATACCTATAGCCTTTCTCGGGTATGAAAAATTAGTAAATGTAGAAATGCTCACGTCTGTATTGCGATTCAGACGGAATACTGGGCAGGCTATTTATCTATTTACTATACAGGGTGTTTCTAAATGATATGCGAATATATACTCGGGATGTTGAAGTACTAGGAAAAAAAAATGAAATCAATATTTTCAAAACCGCTTCAGTAATTCCACTGATGAAAGTCAATAGAGTTGCATATTTTTGAATGTAAAAATAATTTTAAGCTTTAACAGTGGCGTGCGTACGGGTATTGACTTCGATATTTTTTAAGAAAAAAATGGTGCGAAAATGGTTTTTTGCCAAATAAAAAATATTTTTCAACCTCCGTTCAATTTAAAACAAATGATCTCTCTTGAATTGTTTTTCTTCCAGGCGCCGTTTTAGAGTAAAAAATAAAAACCGTTCTATATATATATATGTTTGAAAACCCTGACCAATGCCTTACAAAAAAGCCTAGCATAGGAATCAATGTGTAAAAGTTAATAATTCCATCAGCGACTTGCATCATGTAACATACGGTATCCCACAAGGTACAGTCTTAGGACCTATCCTGTTCAACCTATATGTAAATGATCTTTTTAACCTACACACACACGGTAAAATTATCGGGTTCACAGATGATACGGCTGTTTTTTATAGCGAAAAATCTTGGGATATCTTAAAGACTCTTATTGAAGAGGATTTCAGAGTCATTATAAGCTTGTTCAATAATAAAATATTAACAATCAATTATGAAAAAGCTTTATATCTGACTTTTTCATGTGATGATAGGAACAGTCCCACATTCACTAACATACACATCAAATTACCACCCATAGATGAAGTAGTGGTCCTAAAGCCAGCAAATCATATAAAATACCTAGGAATCCTAATAGACAGCCACCTAAAATGGGACAAACAAATAGAAAGCTTAACGAAGAGATTAAGATGTCTTATACCAAAATTTAAATTTTTTAGGGAAATTCTTTCTGATAAAGACTTATGCACCATATACAAAACGTTAGTTTAACCGTTGTAAACTTATGGAATTTTAGCATGGGGACCCGTGTTGAATAAATACGACAGGAAACTAGAAATAACTCAGAAATGGATTCTTAAAATCATGTTCCGCAAAACTAACACCTATCTAACCGATATGATATATAAGGTATCCAAGATATGTGATTGTAGGCAACTCTATTTTGAGAGTGTGTTCACATATATTACAAAACATAAGCATTTATTAAATTTCCTCCCACATGACCATCACACCAGATCCAAAGATCATTCAGAACGCATACCAAAGTCTAAAAAGACCATAGGTCAGAGGAGTTTCACTTTCCTAGGACCAAAAATATATAACTTAATCCCCCCTCAGATAAAAGATATTAAAAATACAAAGGTTGTGAAAAAGCATCTACGACTGTGGATTTTGGACCAGCATAGGCTCA